ATGATATTCCAACACTATCAGCGAGGTCTCTCATTGTCAGTCGACGATTTTCAAGTACCAAATCTTCGATTTTTTTGGACGTGGCCCTCGTCGGTAGACGTTGATGGTCGTCCAGAGCGCGGTTCGTCTTCAACGCGTTCTCGGCCCGCTTTGAACTCGTTGTACCACTTATAAACGTTTTTTTGTGCCATAGTTTGATCACCAAAGGCCTTCCGCAACATTTTCAACGTGTCCGCACAAGAATATTCGTTCCGCAAACAAAATTTGATGCAAGTTCTTTGCTCAACAAAATCACCCATTGTAAAAATCGAAAAATTCACTTTTGGTTGTTTACAAAAACACGTGTAACTCGGAGATGATTAAACCTTTTGACAAACAGACACTTGGCAAATGTTACAGACAGTCCTACCAACCTAGGAAAAAAAAATTACCTGCCTTCCTAATGCCCGGAAGTTTTAAATGACAATTTCACCTTACTTTTTGAGATCACAGTAGTATTATATATTTTTATGGAATCAAGCTTCAAATTTCCAGCAGAAAGGCAGAGTCTACTTCATTGGTAAAAATATTTTAGGCAAAAAGAATAATTGCGTTAAACGTGAAAGCCTCGAATAGCGAGAAAAATGAACAATGATCTTTTGTCACGTGCATATCCAAATTATGCATGTGCAATTTCTGAAATGAGATATACAATTCTGGGCGATGCAACTATGTCGATAGTCGTCCTCGAACTATTAACAGTCATCTGTAACAAAAAATACGCGTATGGGGATGACGAAATTATTGAAAATTTAATTTCTATGCTAATCCATAAAAATCTCTTAATTTTATTAAGAGACTCGCAAGAGGTAAGAACGTTGAAACAGCAATCGATGCCATACAACTGTGCTTTGCAAGTTTAATTTCATCGATTCAAACACTTTAGTTCCATTCGAAATTTTAAGATATTTTACGGCGCGGCCGTCAACGTGTTAAAATTTCCGAACTACGCGCCACCGGACCCCCACTTCCGGCGCCAGTCGATAAACAACCCGTGAAATACGGTTCAAGTACCGGAACTGCGAGGGTCGGAAGGCGAAGTATGATAGAAGCGAGTCACGCGTTCGTCATGGCCTACTTGCCGTGAAGAAGGTACCGGGTGCCCAGAAGCGATGATTCAGGGCCACCGAAACGATTCCATCGGCAGCGGGCCCACGATCGAGCGGTCACGATCCGTCGGGCGCAGTCCGAAGAATCGTGGATTGATACGTTCGGACTGATGAGCCCGGCGAGCATCGTCGATGATCGTTCCGGCTCGATCGTTTTAAAGGACGAGCCGTCGCGTCGCATCCTCGGTGAAGGACACGGGGGACCTATGTCATCGTGCAACGGGTCAGAAAGAACGGTCGCGGCCTACTCGAGAAAGAGGGAGTAGAATGAGTTTTGGGTTAGAAGCGAGTTCCGAGATCCGGATCCTTCCTCCGGTCCTGTCCCTTAATCTTCGGCGGTCATCTACATCGCCGCGTGCAAGCACGCGGCGAGCAACCAGCGTTTCCCCGAGCTTTCCACCGGCAGGCTCGTAAATTTCCTGGCCACTCTTATTTATCTCGGCCGTGATCGACTCCATGAGATACATTTTTTCTCGGTTTCTCCGGCTCTCTCTTTCTCTCTCGGTCAATCTCTCTCTCTCTCTCTCTCTCTCTCTCTCTCTCTCTCTTACTCGCTCTCTCTCTCTTTCTCTCTCGTTCCGCCGCGTTCCTCTGCCCCGACCTTGTAAAACGACCGCTTGTAAAAGATATGCCACCTTGCTCGGGAATTCGGGAACAAAAGGATACTCGCCCTCGGCCCTTTCGCGGCCCTCCGACTCGAAACCGTGTCTCGAAAGCGAATCTCGCGGGTCCTCGACGATTTTCGGGTCGCACTGAAAAATGGAACCTCGGTTATCTGAACTAATCGTGAGAACACGGACTTTGGATAATAGAGTGCTTACTCGGATAATCGTGCTGGATCGAATCTCCTACGATCGTAGTGAAACCACGTTCTCGAAAACGATTACTTACGTCTCGAAATGTAAGCTACGCGTACTGCCGAAATGGTAAAAAGACGAGCGAAATAAATTACAGAGTTATTGTAAATTACCTTAACGCTAAATTATCTTAACACAATGTTAGTGTTAAGTGAACGTGTTAGTGTTAGTGAACGATACACACACTAGCGAACAATAACACTTCTTGTTTCTCGCAAACGAGGAAGATTTTCTGTGCAAAATTCGGCTAAATTTAAAAATTTAGCTGAAACTAAAGAGAACAAACGTCTACGGTCTATGTATTTTAAATATGAGATAGATCGATACGAGATAAAATTCTAGGTTATCGTGCAATTTTTAAAGAATGTTTCTCGTTAAAGTAAATAAATTTAACGTTATCGTGGTTAAAGCACGTGGAGGTTTATCTCATCGAAGAGACAACGAAGATGTAAATTGCAAGCATCTTATTCGTGTTTTGTGGAAATTGTGAAGAATGCGCGAGCTATCAGATTAGAAGATCGATCGACTGTTCCACACGTTGACCCTTCTACAATGTTTCTGATCCGTGTGATTCGGACCGTGCATCAGTCTTACGCAACTTCTTTATTTACCACATTATGCAGTTTTTATCGAATTCTGCAAATTTCTACTTCCTTTCCTATTATATTTCCATGTTAACGATGTTAAGGATGTAATTTCCACGTTAACGATTACATCCTTCCGTATAGTAAGCTTGAAAACATTGCATTGTACTGAAGTTTCAAAGATCTGCACCTACGTTTATGGTCGGATCCATGTGACCCGGACGCAATTGGTGTAACATTTTTTTTCCTTTTTACGAATACCGTAAAAGGGTCAATTAAGTAGAGACGTCGATCGCGCTAACTGTCGCCAAAAGAGCACACAGCAAATTTCAACGCGTAAAGATCATAAATGCTCGAGTTTAATGCTTCTAAGATCCCGGTGGTTTTGTTCGGCCTGTCCCCCGATTAAAGTGGATAATCGCAGCCCGATCGCGTCTGATTGCGCTTCGAGCCGCCCGACGCCGTGAAATTTACGATTTTCTCGCACGGCCAATAAATCTGTTCGACGTCCGATCATCTCCGCGTAACCATCCCCGAAATTGGTGTTCAGGGAGAATTATTTGCTCAGATTTCCGCTGTACGCCGCCGAGCGAGCATTATGTTTGTTGTGTAATTTCGTAATTCGTACACTCGTTCCTACGTTTGCAACGCTGGCGTCCGTGCAACG